AAAAATGGACTCTGAGAACACCTTAATAAGACCTTTTAAAACTGTAAGACCAGACAACACTATTGACTGTGTTTGAGTGCTTCCGCATAGGTCATTACAATTTCAACCTTAAATTTCATCTGGATTCTTTTCGGTCTTGATTGGTTGGCTCCAAACCTCATCTTTGCCTCTTTGGTATGAGAATGTCTACTTTTAGGGTATGTTTGGTTAGAAATAAATTTTACTGAGAAAGTTTTAATGGAAAAATAGTTGTAAAAATATTATACCAAAATTTTAAAAGTATGATATAAAAAGTTAGTTAATTTTGTAATCAAATTTTGTTAAAGTTTTCTTGGGTTTGTTAAATTGTATGTTTGATAAGAAATTGATATTGGGACCAAAAAAATTCAAGGGCTTTTTAGTACTTTCATACTTCAACATTATGCCAATAAATAAAAGATAAAGTTAACATTTTTAGTTTTTTTTTTTTTCGGATGCAATTAGTAATATAAGTAAACTTTTTTGCCTGTATGTATTTTTAAATGGAAAAACTTTTCTTAACATTTTTAGTATGAAACCTACTTGACATTTTTTTTCTTTTACCTTTTTCAATACCTTCTTACCACATATGAAAACTTTAAGGAAAATAATTATATTCTCTTATTTGATATATATATCAACACTAATTGGCTTAGTCATTAAAATTTATTCTTGAAATTTTTCTTGTGTTAAATTAAAATTTGAAAATAATATTTTTGAATAAATATGTTGTGAGATGTATTGAATCAAAGAATATATCAATCATTATCTAAATTTTAATAAATTCAAGAAAACTCTAATAAAATTGCACATTATTAATATATTTTCTAATTAATTTAACACATTATATAATATACTCATTAAAAAATTATTATTTTTTGATATGAAATTAAAAACAAATAAATTCAAAAATGTTACCATGCATATGTTTGCAGGAATTAACTAAACCAACTATACTCATATTATATTTCAATAGTTGAATCAGACAATATCAAAAATGTATCAAATCAAAAAATGTATTGATCATTTTCTAATAAAATTTTATTAAAAAATTAATTAATTACTTTTTATACAATAATTTCTCGTTTACATTTTTAAAAGAAAGAAACTTACATGATAAAATTGTCTCTAACCAAATAGCTACTTGGAGCAAAGAGAATCCGAATCCCTGCCCTTGGGAGCCGGACAAATACTAACGTTTCACATCCATACGCACTGCTCCTTGGAACTCAAACAACACCTCCTCGTAGAACTAGCTTCTGAGTTCTGAGTTCTGTTCCCTCCCCAGACTTTGAAATTCTTTTGGAAAAAAAATAAGAGAGACCCAAATGATGTTCGATAACATCATATCCTCCTGAGTCATGACCATATTTCTTCCTCTCTGAGGTGTGATCAAGTAATCAAACGGTTGGGGAGCTTTGTGGGTGCAACAATTATAGAGGGTCATCCTTTTTAACTGTTCTGGTATTGTCTGTTATGCTTGTATGATTCATGAAAAAGAAGAAAAGGTTCAGACATGAGAAATGGTTGTTGGGAACTGTGATCTCAAGATGGAATAAAATGGTACGGCTGAATCTATCTCAAAGATTTTCTATGAGAAAAACAACAACATAGGATAAAAGAGTTAATATGTCTTGCCTTTTTGAAAATTACAACCTCATAGTAATATAGTTTAAAAAATTCTGGATTCAAATTATCTATCAAGGATCTCTTATTGTATATCGCAAAATCACAAAATTCTACTTGGAAGTATAAAGAGTGGGGGAAGGTTTGGTAGCATCAGTCAGTCAACTATGTGGTTAACCTCAAATGGGAACCATCCTTAAATCCAAATTCAAATTTAAATCCTTGGATCTTTCCAAGAACAAGAAAATGTCTTCATATAGCAACGGCATCATTTACTTTAACACTTATTATTTACAACATGATTGACAGCTTCTTCTTCACCACTAATAATTTGACCATTTCCATTCCCATATAGAATAGGAGGAATAGAACTCACACAAACCAAACACCAACCAGAAACAAAGACACAAAACTGAGAAAATGTCTTTGCGTTGGAAATTATGTAAAGCAACAAACTATATGCATGCATCATCATTGATGTATGCATTTGTATCATATGATCCATTAGTAAATAAGTGTTATTCTTTTGCATGGATTAGGGGAAAATATGTAAACACTGTGTTTTCCTTTTTTTGTTGGTGTAATTTTCTTAGTTTATGTGTCCAAGAAATTACTAAAAGTTAAATTACGCTTTCAAGCATTCAGCTTTTCGTTTTTTGAATGTTTTCTTGAGTGACCGTTTGTAATGCCATGGAGACTTTGGGTAGAGTAACCCTTGTACTCTTCATCATAATAAAATATTTTGATTCATCTAAAAAAATATATATTTTTTGATTCATCTAAAAAAAAAATAAGTGTTATTTTGTAAGTTAGGTTTAGAGTTTAATTCATTAGCACTGCAATAAAAAAATTAATTTTCTAAATGTAATAGATAGTAAATAGGATGAGTATTGTGTACGGATACATCTGTTACTTACAAGTATCTTACTCATTGGGGTAAGTACCATATCCGAATTGTAAGAAAAATTGGTAAGTAATGGATATGAAAATAGTATACCTGTAAATATCAAATCAAGCAAAAACTATAATAGTTCAAAACTGTTTAGTTAATCTATTTAATCGATTTGTTTAACTTACTTATTACTTATGCTTGTATAATTAAAATTTTATATATGCTTATTATACTTAATATCTATATAATAACAAATACTTATTAAAAATAAAAATAATAAAATATAAAAAATAGAAATAAAAGTGAAGTAAAACTTATAAACCAAACAAATCACACACACAATAATAATAACTTGTATAAATAATAAATGTTAAGTTGCACACATAACACACATAACAATAGATTCTCCTATTAAACCTTTTTTTTTCTAAGCTATTTACATAAATATATATCTACAAGTTATCTTATACCTATTAAATTTAATACTAAATATAGGTCTTTCAATATCTAAATAAGTATCAAATTTAAAAAATTATACTTAAAATTTTTTTAATCAAATATCAAATGTATATAACGCAGACTCAATCTATACCAAATATATATATATATATATATATATATATGCTCAGCCATAAGTTTACGGTTTTAAAATCCATGCAAAGAAACACTCTCGATCTATGTGTGCGCATCTTGGCCCAACTAAGAGGTAAAAAGGAATATATTAAATTTCTGTAGTATTTTGTGAAAATAAAAGACCATACCTTTATGTTTTGAACTGATGCAATTCTGGGAAAGGGGGCTTTTACCATGGCATTGTCGTAGCTTGAAATTTGATACTTGCAATTTATTAATAAAATATATAATATTTATTATTTAATAATTTAAAATTAATTTATAGATTGATAAATTTAAATATTTTAATTAATTATAAAATATTAAAATCAAACAAATTAAACACAATTATAGTATTCATATATAGCATCGACATTTATTCGTATAACCACTATCATGTCCCAATTTAACATGTTGTGTGAATGAGATACGAGACAAAACATTGAGAATGAATACTATTTACACCAAAGATATGAGAAGATTCCCACTTCGCATGTTCTTTCTTTAAAGGCTCTTGACTTGGTATGCGAAATGTTCTATATAAGGAAGCAAGAGGGGAAGAGGGAGGATCATCCCAAAACAGCAGTGCGGTCCTTCTCATTCCCTCCCATGCTCTTACGTCGGAGTTAAAACGCGAAGGAGCTGAGGAGCTCCTTTCAGCCCAATACAGAGGGCCGATGAGCGGGTAGAGCTGCCACCTCATGCGTTCGGTTATGCTTAATCGTTTCTGGAGAAGCACCGGAGTCATGTTGCAAGGGAGATAGACGTTAAGTTTATCCAGATGCATGATGTGGGAGCAACTCTTCCTGCTACTTTGCTCGCCCATTGGACTGAAGGGAGCTCCTAGACTGATTCTCTTTTCTCCTTGGGTATTTTTAGGCTTTTTTCTCTTTGATGCATCTCTGATCTGTTTTCTCCTTTTGTAACTCTTATTTGTTTTCAGGTTTGTCTCTAGCTTTGCAGTGGAAGTTGCAGCTTGTAGCAGTAGGAGAAGCTTTGTACTCTCGTGGAGCTTTCTTTCTTTCCGACTGTTCAAAATACAATCATCCGAGAATGGGGGATTAGAACTTGAAACCTCAGAGAAGCAACAAGAGCAGATTTTGTAAGGGTGAACCAATAAATAGTCCATTTGGTTCAAAGAAATGACTTTCAGGAAATCTTACGAGTCACGAAACTCATGAATGTGTGTCCATTATATTTATATTCAAGTGAAATAGAAAAAGAAAGTTCGGAAAACAACTCCCTTTTCCTCTGCTGGAGGTTGTACTCCTAAAACAAAAATTTTTTCATTCCCGCAACAAAGAGCTTCATTTTCTCATTTCCTGTAGACCAAATTCAGCTTGCGCTTTCACACCTTCCAATTTCAGAAAATAGACATGGAGTCAGTGTGGATTATACTTTCTAAACCTAGTCTATCCCAAATTCTGTTAGCTCTTAACAGTTAAGAAGAGAAGGGAGTCAAGTGCGATTGATCCAAGATTACCTTAATATCAGCAAACGCAACCAGTGTAAATAACAGCAAATTCCATATCAACAAAGGTTCAAGTTTCAAGTAATGGGAAGCTTATTATTACATTATGTGATGGGTAGCCTCATCCAGGTAATAGCAAATCGCTTGAGGATAACAAGGAAAAGTTACAATAAAGCCTAAGTCACCAAGATTCGGCCGCATGTCATAAAAGTAAAACAAAAGAGATCACTGTCCATGACACGAGTCCTATGGGCAAAGAACAATAATGATGATACAACCAAACTGATTTGATATTAAGGCCTCGACTCCTCCACGCCATGCATTTATCTGCTGCGCATATTCAGTAATCTGCAGGAAGGAAAGACAATTGAGTTCTTCTCTTGTATGATCTTGAATAATTAATTCATTACATGCCAAAACATAAGCAAATTACAGATTGCACGATGAAAGAACCATGAGAGGTCATATCCAATATGTATAGCAATTTATTTGAATAATCCTGTAAAATATTTACTTTAAGAAATATAATACTCAGGGTCAAATCATCATCAATAGAAAACAGAACAGATAATGATATATTCAGGAAATTTCAGGGGGTAAAAATCTGTCTCTTTTTTGATAATAGGAAAACATATCAACATAGGACAGCATCAAACCCTACCAATTAAGCAATAAAAACAAAAATAATGTCTATGATTATTGATTTATATATATTTTACTTGCTTTTCATTTGCTTCATATAAATATTATACTGGCTGTGGATGTCTAAATCAATTGATTCAACTCTTATCAGGAGCCAAATAAACTAGATCTCCCCCAGAAAAATGTATTCAGATATCACATTCCTACGATCCTATGATTCCTTCACCTATAGAATAAAATAAAAACTGTAAGGTTAGGAATTCTATAAGAAAATAGGTAAACAAACATTAAAGAAATGGGTTAGTTTGGACAAAAAATCAGAAGTCAATAACCCTGACAAAATAAATATCAGATTTGCTCCATTAAAGGACCTCACTTTTCAAGATCGACAGCATGGAATCAAAAATCCAACATAGTAATGCTCTAAAATACTGAAAATGTCATGGAAAATTTTCCTCAAAGGATTGTCAACACTTTTTCTTTGCTGCATATGACATTCTAGAGAGCATACACTCGCTTATTTCTTGCATGGAACTTTTCTTTGAAGAATTTTCATGTTAAATTTGAAACCAGAGTTTCCATGATTGACAAGAACAGGAAAATGAATATTTAGTTTTTTTTAAAAAAAATTCAAGTGATTGAGCTCTCTCTTACTCGAAAGGATCTGCATACCCATAAACAGATTCTTTAAATCACCATAAAAGAAAATAAACTAGGTGAAATAGGGGCAAGATGATAGAAATGAAAACTGAATATCAAAAATGAAAAATGAAAATAAAAAGGGCAGACTTGGTAATGGTAGGAAAGAAAGAAAAGAGAATAGAAATGAATTGGTAAATTCACCTGTTTGGTAAGGATAAAAAAGTGCACAATGAAAATGAGGGAGATTAATATGTTCAGCAAAACCTATTCAAGGAGTTTAAAAAGAAACTTATTAGCCCCTTAACTTTGGAAGAATGGAAAGGCAATGATTCACAAGGAAGATAAATGTTGCTGCTATCTTAATATCTCCTCACTTTCACCCTACCAACAATATTCTCAGTCTGCACTCTACAAACCATACAAAATACCAATGACAATGAGGAAGAATTGTATACTTGTATGTTGCATTTAGGATCAAGTTAAACTTGAGACGGTATCCAAAGTAAAGCACATTTTGCAATGAACAGAGACAAGTTCAATACTGAATACTGCAATTGATTTCAGTCATACTAAGGGTGCATTTGGTATTACTTTTCAGCTGCTTTTAAACGCAGCACTTCACTGCTCTTCAGTATAAAAGTGACATAAATTTTTTAAATTGCCTTCACTCGAAGAATGTCATCGCAGCAGAAGTTTACTTTGAAACAATCTCCACTTTGAATGAAGCCTCTATGGCGCAGCTCTCCAAACATTTAATTAAATTTTAGGGAATTCAAAAATTCCCCTCAATAATTTCACTAATCTTAACCTTAAGCAAAACTTGAGAATTGAAAATTGAAAAACTAGTTGCTTACTCTTATCATTGTATATAAACCACTACAAAACTAGTTAGTAGTAACTGATTACATAGCAAACAAAATATCTACTAGTAGGCTTTATATATGTGTCTAGCTTCAGAACACCATCTCAAATTATGATTGATGAATATAAATTGATTGCAGCATATCCATCCTACTTTTTATGAGACAGTTTGTTAAACATTATAACAGTTTTTGTGATAATGTTATAGCAATTGAAAAACTCTAAATTGGTTTTGGACATGGCCTAACCAATGTTTGTTGAATCTGATTGAGCTTGGCAATTATTCTATAGCAGTAATATGTAAGGTTGAGCTTCCATACAACCCTATAACAATAAAGCACTTTGGCTATATTGTGCCATAATAGGCATTTAAAAAGGGATTTTGTCAAACACTAAATAGCTTTTTCCAAAACCAAGCATATACAGTAAAAATTAAATCACCTCTGGGGAAATAAGTCTCAAACAAACAGAAAGCGTCAAAATTAAAGCTTTCCCCTTTAATATTGCTCTCCTTTCAATAACATTCCAACATAAAACCCCTTATTTCCACAGCTATTATGTATGTCTCTTCCATATAGATTTTCTTCATAACTTAAGAAGCTTCTTTACCAATCAAGGATTCAATGCCAAATGTCATTGCTATCAGGATGCTTACAGCTAGCTGAATCAGTCTTGACTGATTTACAAATACCCCAAATTTACCCAACAATTTGGCTACTCAAATGAAAACCAATAAAAATTGACAAATAACAACCGAGCAGCAGCTAAAAGACAATTCTAAATCAGCCCAACCAAAAATTTCTAATGAGTTCTTAGTTTGACAGATCAGTGAATAAACCAAGGCCCGAGATTACCTCCACATAATCCAGGAAAGATATCATTCTGACTCCACCGACTCAACCTTCGGACCTAACTCAGAAATCAATAGAGAAGAAACATCACTCAGTGCTCCATAAAATTGAAAACAAAATTTCAAATGGGAAGAAGATTGAGAGCATAAAACAGACCGTGAAGTGAAGGATGACGGCCGTCCTTGCCCCATCCAATGCCGCGGGTGGAGTCGAGGTACTGACGGACTAGGTGGCGGCATTTCTGGAGGTGGTTGACTCCCTCGACGCGGTAGCACCACTTAACCTTCTCTCTGAGGATCTTGGCCTTCTCTATATCGATCCATTTCTCCCGGACGATGTGCTCCCTCATCTCCAGCATGGCAACCGGGTCCTTATACGGGTCCGCCGGGTCGAAGTCCGGCGCCGTCTCATCGAACTCTACTACTCCCTTCTTCCTCCCCATTTTCTCTGCAGCCGAGAACAATCGCAGTATTGGTTTTCTTTTGGCAAAAATACAACAGTTTTGAGTTTGGGTTCTACTCTCGGGCTTGAAGATCTTTTGAGCCTTATAGCTTGTGGTCCAGTTTATAATGTATTCGTGGCCCAGTTCATTATATATGAGGTTTTTTATACATAGTCTTGTACTTAGAACCAACTTTGAATTTGATTAATTTCAGTTAAGTTAGAATTCCATTAAAATTTATTTTTATTTATTTATTTATAAAATTTAAATTTGAATTTTTATTAAAAAAGAATCAATCTCATTTCACTTAAATTAATAAATTATTAGTAAAAAAATAAAAATAAATAAATAAAAATCTATTAAGAGTGGAATCAAATGTTATCACACCTTAAAAATTTAGAAAAAGTTTAAAAATATTGGTTTTAAAGTTTTTTTTTTTATTTTTTTTTCGTTTTTTAACAGTTTAGAATTTGAGAGATTGGGGAAGGAATTTTTGTAAGACATTAATAAAATTTAAAACCTCAATTAATTAACTCGAACGTCTTAAGATTTAAAAATGAACTGTTTGAACTCAAAGACCAACTTCGGATTTGTTTTAAAGTTTAACAAACACCTATCAAATGTTAGTTATAACCAATTAGATTAAATGTTTTGTATTATAAACGGTAATGATTGTAAATTTTAGAATATTGAATATCAGTTATGAATTAAATAGGAAATCCATGGGAGAAACAAAAGATTAATTTGTTTTGTTGCTGTAATATACAAAACTTTGACAGCTCGAGAGTCGAGCCTCGAGTAATCAGCATATAATCTTTGTATTTCCGCTATTTACCCTTGCGACTGTAACCCCGACAAAAATCAGGAGGTCCACCCTAGAAACGAAAACCAAAATGAAAATTCTCTAACACTCTCTTTCGAGTCTAGATATCAGAAGGGCCCAAAACCAGTCTTAACTTTAACCCAAACTCTGCCCAAGATCCATCTAACAATCTGCACCATTACAGCCGTTAATACTGGAACCGGCTTTCCACCAGCTTGATTTGAATCCCAAACTCAGCTCCAGCTCCACCTCGCTTCCGTCGGCTGCTTCGTCAGCCTTCACCAGCGAAGCCTCCACAGTCTGAACCGATTCGCCGTCGCATTGGCTCAGCCCCGAGTCTGGACTCCCCGAGTTTTCGGGCTTCACTTTGGACTTCGGCTTTGGTGCCGATCGCTTGAACTGGGTCTTAGACGCCACTTTGTGAAGCCGATCGGAGACACCGTCCGAGTTTTTATGTCTAGACACGTGGCGAATATCACAGCCTTTAAAGGGCGGGCTAAAGCCGCTCAATACCGACTGCGAAGGGACTTGGGCGATCGGTGCGCCGCTGAGAACCGCTTCCACGGCGGCTTGACATTGCAACCACTTACCCGATATCATCAGCCCGACGAGCCCATTAATCGGGTCAACCATCCGCCCGCACGCCTCGTACAGCAACGATTTAAAAATCTCTGTAATAAATCAACCCAAACTGAAAGTCAGTATAAAATAGAGATTTCAATTTTCAATTACCCAAATGTTTGGTTGAAAAATTACCAGGACGAAGATTTTCGGGGCCGGCATTAATGAGGTTAATGAGACCGGCACGGCCGTAGAATTTTGCGAGGAAGACTGTAGCGTTGGCTTGCGACTGGGGGCTTGGGATCCATTGGAGGCAGGGCCTAATGGAGCAGCTGTCGCTACAGCCTTTACGAAGGACTCGGCAACCGTTGCAGCTTATCCTCATGAATAGAACTTGTTTTGCAAGCAAGAAAGTAATTGAAAAGCAGGAAAATATGAATGAATGAAATCCGAGGTGAAGAAAGTTGGAAATTAGTGTTGAGGAAATGGAGGAGTAAAGGTATTTATTTTGGGAAGGGAGGGAAGAAGAGGACGTGGGTTTTGTCTTGGTGCAAAGTGCGGCGCAGTGGTATCCCAGGAAACCGGGTGATGTTTTGGGAATCTGGTTTTTTCGAAGGTTTTTGGAAGTTTCTATTTTTCACACCATTTTCTTGGACTCGGTAGACAAAAAATGAATTATTTATTACAGTTTCTGTTTACATTACTTTTTTTTTT